TATAATTCTTCAATAATAAGAATTCACGATTTAACCATTGCAGGCTGTTATCCTTTCCTTTGAAAACAACATGTGCAGCTATTCAGATCTAAAGCAAAAATTGCTTTGGAAAGGTTGTGGGCATGCTTACTCTAGAAATTGTCATTGCATTAAAGAAGCCACCCCTTTTCTTGGCTTACCTGGTAGCCTCAGGGTTCCTGGAGAATATGTATCTGAATTGAGGCCAGAGTATGTGACAATTTGTTGCATGCTGTCTGGGCATCCTTAACTCAAAACCATATTGCTGTAGGAATGCAGAGCTACCACCCAAATGTAAGAAAAATATGGAAGCATTCAGAGTGCACCTATACCCATTATCCACTCTGAAAGTCCTTTCCTGCCTCGGATCTGAATTACTGTGTCTCATACCTTTCCAAGTTCTCCTGTCTCACTTCAAAGATGAGAGAGATTTTAGATCTTGAGAAGAAATAGTAATCCCACAAACAGAGACTTTACCTGATGTGTTTTGCAAATGTCCCCCTCAGTCATATGCCATTAACTACAAATCTGTTCCTGGGATGCGGCAGACATTCCAAAATTCCACCTTCTCTGCAATTTTAGGATGCCAACTTTATTTCTTCTCTTATGACTGAGTGGGACCTGAATTCCAGTGTGCTTTTCTTCTGCTTTTCTGTTTCATTGGAGAGACTATAAGTGTTTGCCATGCGTCCTGCCTGGCAGCTCACATTTCATGCTTGCTTGCAGTGAGCTCCTGAAAGCAATCTGCAATCTGCCATTCAGAAAGACAAAATAAAGGAAAAGTGGATTAGGTTTCCAGTACATCAGGAATGGCTTGCAAATTGAATGGGTTATATTGTGACACAACTTACTTTGAAATAGAATTTGAATCTTCCAGAGTCAGAGATCACCTTACACAGTTAGATGTATATACACAGTTGCAGGTATTGCCCCAGTTCGGAGGATAGCATTTTCTTTGCACTCTTTATGCCTACTGACAATCAAATGACGTGCAGAACAATTTTAATATATTATTAAGGGTACTGGTGTACAAATGAAAATAACTAATAATGGTGCAAGAATATAGTTCAGTAGATTAAGAAACAGCAAAGGAAGTAACCCCACCAAAATTTAAAGGATTGACAACACTAAAGCATGCTTTACAATTTAAAAAACTTAATTTTGTTTAGAGGAGTGCAGATGCTAAGAACTGTTACATAATGCAGTACAAAGAGTTCAAATTACAAACAAAAACTTCCTGTTCTAAATTTTGTATAGAAAACCAATCTGCATGTTGCACATTTCAGACTTCTTATATGAATAGTCAACCCTTTTCATGTTAACCACTTGAAGGGGTGAAAGTTCTTACATTCTGCAGCCTAGTTTTTGGCTTATCTCCATTCAGTGGACTCTCGGTAGAAGCAACAGCTTCGGTTTCTTGAAGAGAGTTTGAATAGCTCATTTTGTTTTCAATATGCTTCACTGGGTCTCCTATATTTGCAAATGCACATTCTCTATAATTGGCACATTTTTCTGTTCCTGTTATGTCAGAGAATAGACAGTCTATTCCTTCTGCCAGTCTCCACCCAGGGGGATAGGACGTCTTCCAGGGTTTGTACAGTTGGGTCATTTTCCTCAATAAGCAGAGTCGGAGAACCAGTTTCTGAACTTCCTGTGTGCTCTTGTTGGACTTCAGCATCTGTGTCTGAAATTGGAGTTACTTCCTGGGACTCATTTGCTACAGCAATGCTGGTTGATTACAAGTTCCTACACAGGAATGCTTAAAGCAAGAAGTCCCTCCCTGTAATTTTTTTTCTTGGAATCCCTGAGGAAGGTAAGGACAGGAAAAAACAGCCTTCTCATCAATTGCCTGAAGACAAGGCCTGCATTACATCACATTTTTATTCCTCCAAGCTGATTTACAGTTTTTTCGCCCTTTTTTTAATCCTTGTGGCAGCTTTATAGCTACTTTAGCAGAACATTTTAAAGCATAAATATGGTTGAAAAACTACAAGACTAAATTAAAACCATGTTATATCTTTCCTGTGTGAATCAAACCATCATACTAAGTCACATTGTGGTTTGCTTGTGCTTAGTTTGTTTGCTGAGCAAAACCTTCATTTTGTGTCAATTGTGGGTTAAGGGCAGGGATGGGTTCTACTTACCTTTATTACCGGTTCGCAACGGGGCCGTGCGCATGTGCAGAAGCATTTTGATGACGTTGGAGTCGGTGGGTGGAGCCTCCCGCCGGTTTTACTACTGGTTCTATAGAACTGGTGCGAACCAAGGGCAACCCACCACTGGTTAAGGGTGATGGTAACCTATTAAGTTATGGTTCGCCTAACCAAGAATAAATATAGTTGACTGGCTTCATGTCACACATTTAGGTGACACATTGTTTAATGACAACCACAAGAGCTGGTTTCAGGAAACATTTTAAGCCATAAAAAAATACATACAATTTGGTGGCATGTATAAATACAGCCAATAAATCATGGTGTATTCAATTTATTAAATAATTTGCATTTAGCTTGGTTTTCAACATATATATACATTTTTTATGGCTTAATAGAGCATTGAGCATTGGATAGGTATTTCTAAGTTTGTTTGGTGGATAGTGATTGGCTCAGAGTTCCCAATAAGTTCCACAATGAAGAAAGACTTTGAAACTGGGGCTCTGAACCTCACCTGTCAACCCCACTAGTGATTGCCTTTTTTCCTAAAGTGCCCTTTGATCAAATCAAAGCCTTAATGGCTTTTTAAAGAACATTTGTTTCTGTTTAACTCATTATACATCAAATACAGGTTGTGATGGTTTGGAATACTTTTAGCATCACTTGGAGGTTAAGCCCTACATCTTTTCTCCATATGTTGATAAAGTGATAAGTTACCATTCATGGGAAACAAGATTCTCTGAAAGGTAAAGTATTACTTCATGTAGTGTGTGTCATGCTTTCTAGCTTGCTAACATGGATAACGCTACGTGACAATGTATTCATTGCACATGGGAAAAACTGCTCACACTATCTGCTTGGACTTTTCATTTTTCATCTAAATTCCAGGATTTAGTGTCATCACATAACATTTAGCCAATGTGGTGCAGTGAGTACTTTGAACACGGGATGACTGCTGCTCAAATATAGTATCTGCTTAATTATGACATGGACTTGAAGGAGTGTATAAGTTTTGCTGCTTTTTTTGTTGTTGCATTGACATCATCTTACAAGGTTGTTGTGAAGTTAGCATATCCTATTTTTCGGCTTGAGAGGATGATAGGAGTTGTAGAAAGAAAGACAAAAGAAAGAGTGAGAGCAGTCAACGATATCTTCCCTACTAAAATCTGCCTCTTTAGAACTGCTTTTTCAAATTTCCCTAACAATTTCATGCAGTTATAATAATTTGCTAGTAACAGATTACTCCAGAAAAGCATCTGTTGGCAGTGCAGAATGGCTGAGCTGAATTTATTCTGTTGGTCTGATTTTAAGTGTTGCATTATATTTTTTTCCTCAAACTTTTTTCTTTGAAAACTAAAATGCTAGCTATAATGAACTTTCTATGTAAATCTTACAAAGAAGATTTAGCAGTGGGTTTTCTTATGTTTCTTAACTCTAGTCTTTTTGTGTATTTAGGCTGATTTTTAAAGGTATGAAGAAAAGTGTATTTTAATACATTTGCTTACCTATATGGAGGACAGTCCAATATCAGAAAAGAGGTTTTATTGCAAAATTATACCCAAGAATGTTATGCTGAGGCTGGAAAAAAAATCAGGATACTAGTAGCACTTTTTCCAACTAACCAACATTATTAAAAAGTTTTGTAAGTTGCAGTTCATCCTTTGAGATACATAGAGTGGCTAGCTTGAAGTAGAATTTTAATTGGAATGAGGTGAGGAGAAGGAGGGTGAAAGACAGGTTATGCAGATGCAGGATATATGTGACATAGAACCCCATTGTGTTTGTTGAGACATTTTGAAGATGGAAAGTACCTTCAAATCTGCTGTTTGTTCCTTAAAAAAAACCCCAGGTCTGACACAAACAGTGATCAGCTGTACAAATTCTTCACTTATGAACTTTCTCATCCATGCATAACTGTACAATTATATCTGGATAGGCTAATCTTGTGTTTCAGAAGAACAAAGGCAAGATGCCAACTATGGTAGTCTGAGACAGCTCCAAAGTACGTCTACATTTTAAAGCCGCCTAAAGTTTGACAAATCTCATTTTAGGTGCCTTCTCATGCCTCCTAGTACTTTCCAGTGGAGTGCCATTGCCTTTATATGGAAACTATCTGTTGTTTTGAAAGTCTTCTTTTGTTGTAAGACTGGTATATTCTGTACCTCACTGTGTTTTCTTTACAACTGGCATTGTCTATATGATGTGTAAGCTGACAATTTCCTGAACAAATCTTTCTGCCTCTATTGCTTTGAGTTGGCTTCACATACTCCAGTCATCCAAATAATGGCATAAAGCCATACATCATCACTCTACCATGGCATTAAAGTCTTGTTGGCATTATATATTAGTGACAATATACTATTAACATACTGATATGTGGGTGGTTAAAATATTTATACCTAATGAATTAATGTATTTTACTATAAAAACATTTTCAAACTGATCTAGGATTCAGAAAGTCTAATAGCATATTTGAGACTAACAATTTTATTTACAGCAGATGTTTTCATGAGATGCAGCTTATTTCGTGGGATGCATGGAGTAGCTTGAATGAGCTAGATTAACTTTTCCCAAATTGATAACTTCCATGGCAATACTGATTGGAAATTATGGATGTTGCAATCTATTCTATCTAGACTAGAGGATCAGAAACAAATATTTCTGAGATGTTTTCTTAAAAGTTAAACTGAAAGTTAAACATTCTACTCTTCTTGGGGTCTAGAATGAAGTTCAAGAAGTGGGGAAGTGGGGAGTTACTGTCACTCAAAGACAAGGGGATGGAGAGTATTTCTATGTAAAAACCAGTCTGTCATTTTCATTCTCCGATAGGCATTACTGCATTTCAGAATGGAGCCATCTCCATTTAACCGAAGGCAATGGGCTTCACATTCGCTGAGGATAACTGCCAAAGAATTGTCTCTTGTCAATGCGAACACATCATCAGCTCTCCTACAGAGGTTCTCCAAGTAAGTTCCGTTGGGATTTTCAGGTTGTGACTTATCAAATAAAAAGTTATTTTTAAGATACATATTGCTATATCCCTTACTGTAGAGAATACCATGTTTTAAGACTTGATGTATCAAGTTTTTTTTCCAACTCGAAGCAGTTAGTGAGCTGAGACGCAGTAAAACTTTGTGCCTAATATCAGTTTTTCTAAAGATATTTAGTAAACATAGAGAAGGCATATGTTCACACACAGAATTTTAGACATTTTTTACAATTAATACTCCAAAACTGTGCTGTAATTAGGCATGTCCATGTGAGATGCAAATTGATAAATATCAGAGCTTCCTAATGAGAATTTTCAGCCTTGGAGCAGAGGTGAGGAAGGGGATTGAGAAAGTGTAATATGTGTGCATGTGTTTGAGCAGAAAATCAAAATCCTTTCCACATCAGCACATAATAAGCAATTATTCCTTCCCTGAATACTCGTCAACCAATTCAGTTTTTTCTTTTCTTTTTTTTTCTGGCCAAGTGGCACATTCTTAAACTAAATACTTAATTGGAGTTAGCCATACTTTTTATTTCCTAAGAATGCTTAGAAAGTAAACATGGACATCCCCCCAAGACATTTTCTATAAGGATAATACTATAATCTGACACTTTACTTTGTAGCATTTATTGTTTCTGTTGTTATTCTTTGTGTAAATTCCCCTAATGTCTGGTGGCCACATCAACAAGGGAAATGTCTGACATGTTGGGTCTACTGGCAATGCATTGCATACTCCCTGGCTTAGCTAATGGAATCATCATTAGCTTGATACAGGGATGAATATTTAAAGCGGAAAGTATTTTGCTATGTATTTTTCAGGAATTTGCTTTCTTCCTTTTAAAATTTTATTATTAGATATGCACGCCCAGCTGAGCCATACAATCATCAGAGGCTTTTTTTAAAAAAAAAATTTAAAAGCATTTTTTCTACAACCTCTTCGGCTGAAGAAATGCTTTTAAAAGTTAAAAAAAAAGCCTCTGATGATTGCGCGGCTCAGCTGGGATCGTCAGAGGCTTTTAAAAGCATTTTTTCTACAACTTCTCGAAGAGGTTGCAGAAAAAAATGCTTTTAAAAGCCTCTGATAATCCCAGCTGAGTTGCCTCATGGTCGGAGGCTTTTAAAAGCATTTTTTTAAACAACCTCTTTGGCTGAAGAGGTTGTAGAAAAAAATGTTTCTAAAGAAAAAAAAAGCCTCTGATGATCAGGCAACTCAGCCTGGATCGTCAGAGGCTTTTAAAAAGCATTTTTGTTTACAACCTCTTCAGCCGAAGTCACCAAGCCACACCCACAGAACCAGTAGTAACAAATTTTATATTTCACCAGTGGATAGGCAATTGAAAGGTGACAAGTAGATACTAGGTTTCAAGAAAATAGAGCAAGCTTGAACTGATAAGGAACAAATGGAAATAATGGGTCTAGATTTAAGGATCTTTTCTTGGAATTATGCAGATTCTCTGACCTGCTGGCCTCTATTTTTGAGAGCCTGAAAGGGTCAAATATGGTGACGGCAACTAGTGTGTACTTTGGAGATTTTGACTGCTCAATAAACATGTCCCATCAAACTATACTTTGCTGCACTTTATATATGTTTGATTGCAGTATGTAACTATAGTTTAGTCAGATGTATTTTGTTGGTTTCTGGCTGGTCTATGCTCCAATTTCTGTGCTGGCACAATATCTGTAATTTTGGATTGTTGGTTTACACATGACACTAAACTTGAGTTAATATAAGGTTTTTGAACCACATTTCTATGTATTAGAAGACAATTATGTTCCTTTGCAGAAAGAAAAACGCAGGGAGTTGAGAAAACAGTATTTTTGTTCTTAGGAAAGTAAACGTCATTGTAACCAAGGAAAGAAAGAGCCACAATTGGCAGCATATTTTGCCTTAAGTGTTTTCAGGAAATGCCTTCCCTGAATTCCTGAGAGAAAGAAAGAGAGCACAAATGAGCATAGTTCAGTTTAAAATTTCCAAAGGAGACAGGACAGAATTGAAAAGGCCTGGCTGTTGTAATCCAATCTTTCAGCAATTTTACCTGCCACTAGCATGGCAGCACCTCCTCCACAGGCTGAAATTAGAACTGATTATCTGTGGACTTGTTCAAGATGGACTAGCAAAGGCTCACACTCTGAATATTTTCAACACTCAACAGCTTCAGTGGGGTGGCCCGTTCATATACAGAGGCTGCTATAACTGATGGGCTGATTTCTTACTTCTTGATGAAAAGAAGGATAGTTCCAGAAGTACCAGTGTCCACCCAGATAGGTCTTCAAGGAATCCCAAGCTTTTTTTCCCCAATAGATTTTAAAAATGAATTTAGTTTGTTTTTTTTAAAATGAAAATTAGTAACTGAACAGATAGCTTCCAGCATCACTTTTATTTTCAAGGGTACTCCTAGACCCCATCAGCTTGATAGATGGCTGCAAGAGAGAGCCTTGTTTAAAAATATGTGTGTCTTCCTTAAATTAAAACAAAAAGTGCTCCACACTGGAGATTTTCCAGAATAGGCTAGACAAGCATTTGATCAGGAAGGTATAAGGTGTCTAGCCTTGAGCAGGAGGGTTGGACTAGATGATCTCCAAGCTCCCTTCCAGCCCTATGATTCTACAGTATGATTCTATGAAATGGACAAAAGTAGAGAAAGCATCTAAACTCAGGTGTTTTGTGATGTGTGTTGTTTGGCAACCACTATTTCAGAAGGGCACACAGAACTGTTTTAAAAATTCCAAATAGACTAAACAGACTAAAAAGCAAGGAGACCCTTATTCCCCGATGTAGTTACACTTGTATTTTTCAATGATTGTATGCTGATATTTGCTAATGGTATTGCAATACCTCCAATTAGTATTTAATTTGACTTCTTTTAGGCCACACAGTGGAATCACAAATAATTTTGGATTCTCAGAAATGTGTAATTTGACAAGAGGATGGCTGGTTCATACCATAAAGCCACATTTTGGCCAAATTAACCCCCATTGAAACATGTTAATGACAAACCCAGAATGCTAGTGTAATAAATCACTTCTGCACATAAGCTTTTTAGCTTTGAATTTGCTTATTGAAAGAGTTGACTGCAGATTAGTACAAAGCAGTGGTCAGTTGCCCCCGGTTCGCACCGATTCTATAGAACCGGTAGTAAAACCGGTGGGAGGCTCCGCCCACCGACCCCGACGTAATCAAAACGCTTCTGCGCATGTGTGCGCGCATGCGGCCCCGCTGCAAACCAGTAGTAAAGGTAAGTAGAACCCACCAGTACAAAGGCTGAGAGAAGGTTAATCACAGTTATTTTCAGAGTATCGGAAAGAAACTTTAAGAAGATGCAATATAGTGAGAACTAGCTGAAGCATATTTTGTTCAGGTTGTAATGTTTTGAGGATGGGAACAGATTATACTGGCATTCGTCTCACCATTTGCTTCCCATGGTTAACTTGCTGCCCCCACCCACATTTTGCTCTGTTCTATAATAATATAAAATTGTCATTCCACCAGGAAACTACTGAATCAGTTAAACATATCTGATAACTTTACTTGCCTGCTAAATGTTTTCTTGTTCAATGTTATTGTTACTTTAGCAGAATGTTACTTCATTTTTCTAATTGGTTTTAATTATTAAAAGCTACTTTCAAAAGTGCGCCCTCAGGGGTGGCAATATAAATCCTTTAAATAATTTCTGCATTTGCTTCGGTTAGGCTACAGACTAACCCAGCCCAATGTGATATGTTGTCTGAAGTTAAAACTACCTTTTAAAAATGTAAATTTGAGGATTATAGTGCCAGAACTGGCTAAATTGTTCTGGTATCGTAGGCAGAAAATCCTACAAGCCTCTTTCTCTGGAATAAATAATAAATGTAGTTTTCAGTAAGGGAGACAGCCTTGCCTTTATTTATTCCTAAAGAGGGAAACAATGAGGAGCTGCTTTTTCTCCTGGCTGTTTCAATTATTGGCTGTGGAGGTTCTATATGAGGGCTCCAAACTCTGTATAGGTGCAGCCAAAATTAGGACTAGGGACTTGGTTCCTAAGCAAAGTGGTCACTGAGTGAAACCATTGAAGTACTTAATGATCAAAGTTCAGGTTCTTTTGCATTACAGGCTGCCCAGAGTCATAAACGCAAATATTAGTTGTAAAGTTATTTTTTCCCATCATCATTGTAACTGCATATGATCAGTAAATGAGCCAGTTGATAAATGGGTGCTATCTGCACCCTGTGAGACAGTGTGAGAGCTTCCAGGGCAGGGAGGGATCATCTGATCCTCATCTGATCACTCTTAAGAGCAGCCAGGTCAGAGAGAGAACAGATTATACTTGTATTGCTTTTTCCCATTTTCCTACCCTTCCCTTCCCATTGTAAGTACTGTTAGTAGCACCCGGACTGACCTTTAAAACCCAATCAGTGTCAGACTTAGTTAATCCTTCGATCCCAGCATTGTAAGCTAAACTAGGAAGTAAAACCAAAAATTCCATAAGAAGGCATAGCAAAATACTTTATTCTTTATACATACACGAGTGTGTCTGTGAAGTCATCAGGAATTAAATATAATCTGAAAGAGAGTTTACTTTTTAATTATGTAGGAGGAGAGCCATGTTGTCTGTTGTAGCAAAAGATGCAAAATGTGACTGGACTGATGTAGGATTTAAATTCTTTTTAACAATAAACTTGAAGACAGATTGGTTGTTGTTGTTGTTATACAGTAGCCTGATCTGGGAGTTCTTCTCACTAAAAACATTTTAAATTCAGATTCTACAGCCAAAGATTGCATCAGCTCACAGAGACATTGCTAAGATTCTGATTTGAACCTTAGCAACCATGAGTGGGTTTATACAACATTCTGAGGCATAAACTATGGTTTACAAAGCAGAGAGGCCAGGCGTGTATAGCTACTATCCTAGATCCAAATATTCATTTGAAAAAAAATAAATAAAAGCAGCGCTCGTGTTTGTTGCGTCAGTTCATTTGGTAGAAATTTCAGCAATATATGAGAACAAACCAAATATCAGCCAGGAAACCAATGAAGCAAGTGTTGCTGTTTATTCATCAAGACAATCCAGGTTTGTACCTGGATTTGAATGGCCCAAGACAAAAATAATGCTTGTCTGTCATGATCGAAGCAGTATGTAAAATTGACAAATAGGTCATAGAAAGCATTGCTCAGCAACTGTAGTAGAGAGGCATGTCTATAGACCAGGGGTGTCAAACTTGTGTCGTCATGGCGGCGTCACATGACATATCGGGACTTTCCCACCCTTCGCTAAACGAGGCATGGTCGTGGCCAGCAGGTGACACATCCAGCCCATGGGCCAGGAGTTTGACAGCCCTGCTGTAGACCAAAAGCATGCAAAGTCATAGCTAGTGTCATCCAATTAATTCTCTCAGGGATGTTTCGAAATAGGGTCTATTTATGCAACTTTGTGTTCCTTGGAAGAATAGTGGGACTTAATTGAAATTGAATAATAGTTCAACTGAAGCAGACTGAAGGCTATATAGCTCAAAGTTTTGTTTCTCACAATGACCACATACTTCAATTTTGTGCTTGTTCTTGGAGTACTACTTTGAACTGATAGCAATAGCACTTAGACTTATATACTGCTTCACAGTGCTTTACAGCCTTCTCCAAGCAGTTTACAGAGTCAGCATATTGCCCCCAACAAACTGGATCCTCAGTTTACCAACCTTGGAAGGATGGAAGGCTGAGTCAACCTTGAGCCGGTCAGGATTGAACTCCTGGCAGTCGGCAGAATTAGCCTGCAATACTGCAATCTCTTCCAGAGATGCTGTTTCAGCCTTTCTCTTAGTTGTCTCTTGAGCAGTGTTTGTCAGACTTTAAGATGTGTGGACATCAGGCTGGCTAGGGAATTCTGGGAATTGAAGTCCACACATCTTAAACTTGCCAAGCTTGAGAAGCACTGCTCTAGCTGCATCGGGTCTACAGGGCCTGCGATTTCCAAAGTTCTGCAGCACTTGAAGAGCATGTTGCAGACATTTGAAGAACATTAGGTGGTGAAAACTGATGCATGTGTTTATGTGTTAAATATTTCACTGCTGGACTCTTGAAACTAAGTGTTTGTACAAAGTACTGAATAAATTTCCGGGAAGCAAATTCCCTCTGATCATGGAGGCATGCTGGATCATAGCTATTGAGAAAATTCATGATCAGTTACGATTGTAGAAGATCCCTTAAATTAATCTGAGCCAGTTGCCATTATCCCATCTTGATGAAGAGAGATTTCAGAACCCTATGTTGCTGATACACATGAAAAAGCCTGATAGAAGTGTGGGATAAAATTGTTCTGAGGGGGGTAGCATCCTGAGGCAATTCAAACATTTTCCTTACATTAGCTCAAGCATAAGATTGGGACAATGTGCGTACACATTAAAGAACCCCCATTTATTCCATATTTCACTGGAGTATCAAGTAACTATATTCTGTGGGCATCCTTTTGATCTAACCTGTTTTGCCAGGAAAGGAACTTGAATTTTGTTGCATTCTACTGATTTTTCCCTATATATATATATATATTTTAAATTCGGAAGCATAAATATGTATAATTAGTAATAGAATCTGTATCTGGAGGCTGCTAAAGAGGTGGCATAATTGCAAAGGGTAGGACAAAGGCTATCAGATCAGCCTTAGTCATGGGTGTGGTGATCAGCCTTTTCAAGAGCAGTGACTCGCCTCAGGTTTACTATTATTTTACCTGCTGGTTTTAACTTGTTCTGCAATTGCTGCTTGGTATGTAAACGTGGAAAAAAGTCATCTTGAAATAATCCTCTGTCTTGAAGGCTTTTAATAGTTCCTCATCAGAGGCCTCTGAGAGGACCACAAGCTTCAAAAATTAAATAGCTTTACATAATTATAGATAGCTAATGCTATGGTGTAAATCAATTGCACAATGGATATCCTTGTTAATCTTTTACCACAAAATGTTACACAATTTTTATTTAACTTTAAAGGATAAACTTTTATTGTGGGACAAACTTGTTGGATTTTGTCCTACTTTATCAGAGTGAGCCAGGAAGTATTAGGGCAGCTGGATTACAATTCTTTTTTTTTTCCCTGTGGGTATATTTGCATATGAGCTGATCTGGCTGCATGAAATTAGCACTTTTGCATTTTGCAAAATGATCCGTAGCTGGTAAAAAGTTCATATTATGATATATCTGTCACATGTGGCCCTTTAAAATATTTATTTTGTTTAGTTTTTCATGGGATTTTCCTGGGTGTTTTTTTAATATAAGATTACATTTTTTGTTCCCCTTTTCTACTAAACTGTGATATCAATTACTTGCAGCTTATTATTAAAAAAATAATTAGTTGTTTCTTGAAATTTTGTATACATATCATTGAAAAGTTTAGTGGTTGGAATAAAAATGTTTTTTTCCCACCTTTTGCCTTTCTTTGCTGTAAAGGTACCAGAAGGCAGCTGAAGAAGCGGCTGCAGAGAAAAAAAGAAGTGTAAGTATTTTTAAATGATTATGAACTCAGTAGTAGCATGACAACTTAATGACATCTCAGTTTTTTGATCCCCTCTAGCAGTTACTCTTGAATTTCCTCAAAAGATTTTCTTCGTCTCCTCTTCCAGTGCTGACTTTGAGAAATGTTCTTAGCCTTAGGCCTTAGTTTAGACCAGGGGTGGGAACCATGGCCCTTTGTGACTTATGGACTTCAGCACCAAGAATTCCTGAGCCAGGCATGCTGGCTCAGGAATTCTGGGAGTTGAAGTCCACAGGTCATAAAAGGGCCATGGTTCCCCACCCTGGTTTAGACTTTGCTATGACGCAGTTTCTTCTTTTCACACGAGGGTTGAGTAATGAGAAAATCAAGTAAGTTTCCTGGCACTCAAAACGTCTGAGACGCTAAATTATTTGTCCTAAATTCAAAGCACACTAGGTTGTTGTGTTCAGCTTTTATGCAGTTGTAATGCTAACTTTCAAATTTAGATGCAGGCTGTCTGCATAATTCTGCCGCTTGTGTTAATTTTTTAACCGATTCCTTATATTTATGTAAATAAGGTTGATCTTGGTTCTTGATTATATTTTATTCAGCAGAGTAGCAGTCTGAAGAAAAAAATAAATAAAGCTAACATGCCATTGCTTTCCAAAATAACATCTTTACTATTCCAAGTAATACTTTCCAGCTGTTCAGATTTTTTTTTTTTGTTATCAGATACTGTTTCTGACTCAAAGCTTCAGTTCTGAAATGGGAACATCATAATCCCACCTAAGCTTCCCCCCTCCCTCACATCTGGAAAACTCCAGGCCTAAAATTACAAATTAATATGATCAGAATATTGTAATCCTTCATTACTACGGGTAGTCCTTGAATTACAACCGTTTGTTTAACAACAGTCCAGAATTACGATTGCCACAGAAAGGGTGCTTTACAGCCGATAAAGCACTTCCTGCCATCCCAAAATGTTGAACAGTTATGTGATCGTAATCTGGGTTCTTGGCAATCTGTCTGCATTTATAATTGGCTGCCAAGCACTTCACAATTATGCGATTGCCATATGCAACCTTCTCCAGAAAGTCAGTGGAGAAAGCTAGCAAGGAAGAGTGCAAACAGCTTCTACTTTACCAAAAAGACCCCTTCTTGTCTCGGGGGGTTGGCTGAAAGAGCTTCCTGCTAAGGGGAGCTGAATTCGTTTGGCGGGGTGCAGAAACAGAGCTGAAGTTAGATTCCTTCTGTGCACAGAGAGGAGGTGAAATACTTTGGCAGGCAACTTTCAACCATCCCCAGAGACAAGAGGGAATTAAAATCCAAACAGAGAGCTAAGTGGCAGCCTGGTAAAGTAAGGAGTGTGAAGTGCTCCAGTCAGGTAGAGAAGGCCCTGGGAAGCCAAGCGCAGGCCACACACGTGCCTTTTTGCTCAGTGGCTGAAAATCCTACTTGGATTTTGGCAGGGAGGATTTTCAAGTCCTGAACAGAGCCTCCTAGGATCTCTCCTACTTTCCTGAGCCACCCTGCACACCTTACCTGGAACTCTACTTAACAATGCCGAGATTGCTTAACAACCACAACGGAGAAGGCCAGGATTGCATCATTAAAAGAAACCACCTCCTGGACTTCTTGATTAATTACTGAGATTAATCTCAGTAACTAAGATTTTGGTCCCAATAGTGGTCGAAAGTCAAGAATTACCTGTATATTAATTGACTACAATCTCTCTATATTTTTGTTTGATACAAAGCAAACCATAATTTTAAGACTTTTATACACATATCCTTCTAGTGAAGCTCACAAGGATAATATACAGACACAGTAGCTGAATTCACATATTGTACCAAGCCATGGATTGTATACACATTTTTAACTGAATAAGCCACAATTTTATTTATTTGTTTGTTTGTTTGATTGATTTATATGCCGCCCTTCTCCGGAGACTCAGGGCGGCTTACAATGCTTTTAAGCAATTGACTGGGTTTGCCCAATGTGCTGAGCCTAGGCTCATGCTGCTGTATACCACATCCCTTTGTAGACATTGCACTGCATGTCGGAAAGGAAAGACATGCAGAAATGCATGTGTGTTGGAGAATGAGAACAATAGCACCTTCCTTTGCCTCCTGCTCCAACATGAAGAAAGTTGGGAGAATGATCTGGTCTTAAGAATGTTTGAAGCTGCTTCTGAATTGTCCTGTTGTCCAGGCTATTTACATCTCTAATCATTAACTCAAAATTTTGGAATAGGACATTTGACATAGCAAAAACATTTGCAAAAAAGAAAGCTTTAGAACAGCCTTCCAGTGGCCGAAGATAGCCCAAGTTTTACTCCGGGATGTCAAGTTTGTACTTTTCATCTACATGTAGGTGTGAAGTCATTCTGCTTAGTAATGTTCCTAATTTGCCTATGACAATATAATTAAGTAGATCCGGGTTGTTGTTGTTGTTTTGCCATGTCGTTACAGTGTCCCGACACATTCCTGGAAGCAACATAATTAAAGTTATCCTTAGTGATTCTTATATTTAACTTGTGTTTTTCCTCTTAAGTAGCCAATAACCCATGGCAGCTTTACCATAGGTGCGCTCTAATGCTGTTCCCTAAGCGTTCTGGTGATGACTTCTTAGAGGGTGGAATTAGCCTGGCACCTATTGGCCACTTTAGGCTGCTGCAGGCACGGCTCTTCCCAAGGCCAGGTTGCCTGCTTGTAGATCTGATTTAAAAGAAGGATCAGCCCAGCTAACACCCAACTGGCACCAGGAGGTCTGTGCAGTAGTGGGGAAGGCAGAGAAGCCTGTTCCTGCTTTCTCTACATCCTCATCTCCACTTACTTAAACTCCTATTTGAAGGGAGCCTAACTTACAGCTAGCGTGTAGTGGGAGGCAGTGTGATACATAGGGAGAAGTAACTTTCTCTCTGGCTTCAACACACAGCTCCTTGTCTTCTCCCCAACTCTCATACTACATTAAGGAGAGACATTGGGTGTGGGGGAGGGGGAAAGTATTTTTCCTGTTGTTGGTGCTGTTTGGTGGGAAGGAAGGGATACAAGAAGCAAAGCAGGGGTGGGTTCTACTTACCTTTACTACAGGTTCTCAACGGGGCTGCGCGCACTTCCTTCTGTGCAAGCACAGAAGCGTTTTCATGACGTCAGGGTCAGTGGGTGGGGCCTCCCGCCAGTTTTACTACCAGTTCTATAAAACCAGCGTGAACCGGGGGCAACCCACCACTGAAGCAAAGGAATGAATTATGCATTCCTTTTCCTCAAATTGCCCCGTGCACCATAAATGACCATTTAATGGCAGCAAAGATAAGAGAAAAAACAGCACTAGGTGTAGCAAATATTCAACCAAGAACTTATGGATAATACTTTAACCAGCCATTGGAAAAATGGCCTTGGTAACAAATAATCTTCCTAATACAGATGCATGCCTGGTTCTGTTTCTGGGAATAAAACATGTCAGGAGGATTTTAGCTTCATTTTCGAATGTATATTATATTTTGGTTCCAAAGTTTGTTTCTGTGAGCAGAAACATCACTGCCAATTGTACTCAGAATACCATTCTGACTAGTTATAGTTTAACACAGTGCTCCCAACCTTTTGGGCACCAGGGACCAGTTCCATGGAGAGAGGTTTTTCTGTGGACCGGAGGAAGCATGGCTTTGCGTGCTGCCTGCATCCGGCGGATGGGGCTTTGCTTGTTTGCGCATCAGCGGACCAGTGCTGGTCCACGAACCGGGGGTTAGGGACCTCTGGTTTAACATAAGGAATTGTCAGCCAATCAGTATTCACTTACTATTAACTGTCTTGTCCTCTTTTGGGGTCCACTATAAATACATTTTTCACAAATATAAGTAAATCATTAGCATTTCTCTGTGTTCCCTGTAGCAAACATTTGGCCTTCCAAATTTCTGCTGCTGCAGAGTATATTGCCAGGAGCTGGGAATCAGGATGGGTCAAGAATTTTGTGCAGTGAGAGCTTAGATCACTCTTTCAAGCACAAGGCAGAATATATTGCCATTTTTGGACCAGGTTTCACTGCCTTCAAATTATATTTCCCTGTCCACAGATATGAGCCCATAGGCATACATCAAAACAGCTTGCACCCGAAACCCCTGATTATGAAGTCAGGCAATTAGTGTGGGCTGATGATCTTTGAGAACTAGGACTGCATCTTCACAGGGAAGGCATCTTAGCTGGACTCAACATTTTAGAAACAGGAAGAAGCAATCATATTTCTGGGCTGATCATCTCATCAAAGTCCTCAGATGCAGAATTTTGAATTAATGGTGGAAGGGAAAGGAGAAGGAGGTGCAGCAGGGCAAAGAACAACACTGCTGTGTGCAAGCAATGAGTTCTCTCCCTCAGTCAGTTCTCTCGGTTTGAGAGATACCTGGAAAAGGTAGAAGAGGAAGCTGTTTCTAGTGAAAACCTCTGGGGAAAATAACCTAAGGCAGAGTTGGCTACAGGTAAACCTCGATTTACAACCACATTTGAGCCCAACATTTCTATTGCTTAAGCAAGCCTGTTAAGTTAATTTTGTCCCATTTTATGACCTTTCTCGCCACGGTCGTTAAATGAATCACTGCAGTGAATCTGGCTTCCCCATTGACATTGTTCGTCAGAAGGCCACAAAAGGTGATCACATGACCTCAGGACACTGCAACCCTCATAAATATGAGTCAGTTGCCGAGCGTCTGTATTTTGATCACGTGACTATGGGGATGCTGCAACGGTCGTAAGTGGGAAACACAGTTATACGTCACTTTTTTCAATGCCATTGTAACTTCAAACGGTCACTAAATGAGCTGTTGTAAGTCAAGGACTACATGTATAAGGGATGGAACATATAGAAAGCTACCATCATATCATTAAAAATCTATAGATAGATAGATATTCCATCTTTGTGGTGGTAAAAAAAAAAGATGGAAGTACAATGAAAAACCTGATAAGGCGACAAATGGAAGTTGACAACGTTTGCAACACTGGTAAAATTTATATAAATAAAAAATGGACATTAGACAATAACAGATCCTTTGGTTATTAACTTCAGTCCTTGGAGTTTCTCTGTATTATACCAGTGAAGTTAGAATTGCCTCTGTAACTTCCCTACTCCTGTGTTCACTGAAGTGATTTCATTTAAATAGCTCTGAATTTAAACAGATTGCTGATTTTGGGCTCTGTTATCTAATCTAGGGTACTGAATGTGGATACAGCTTTTGCTAATGTTTGACCTTATCCATGCTTCTGATTCTGTTCTGCCTGCTCAGCATAACCTTCCAACCTTACTAAGAGTATTTGTGTGCTGCCTGGAACTGATTATCCTCTGTGTTAGATGAAGTTTTGTTCTGGTGAGCTTGAGAACTCTCTGTCCTGCTTTTGATTGTTATCAAACTTGGCTTTTTTTTTCTCCCTCTCTTTTAGCATTCCTAGTCTAATATGTGACTCACTGTATTAAAAAGCTGACTCTTGGACCTGTGTCTGTTAGATAGCAATTCTGTCTGGCTGATGATTCTTTTGACGTACAGGATTGAATAGTAAACTCTGAGTCAGGTCAACAGGGGCCACAAAAGTGAGCTTTGCACAGGGGCATTAAAACAAAAATGAATTCAAACAGTGTCCAAGATGAGTCACAGTGTGCTGTACTGTTTATTCCAGATTTCCAGATGCAACCGAATACTTTTTGGGGACCTGATTTTTCTATAAAAGCACTAACATTTACATTGCTTTATGTGGTTCCTCTGTACCTCTTCCCCCCACTTTTTTTTTTTTTATTTCTGACTTCCTGATCTTGCACTCTTACTTCTCTCTGTACATTTAAACCTGCTTGAAATGGAGCAGAAAACTGATTATTTCTGAAAGTTACCGTATGTTTCCTTCTCACTGATTTGCAAGGTGGAACTCTCAATGTAGCCACAAGAAATAACAGAGAACTAATCCCAGTATAGCCGCTTATCCTGTTTAATAACCTAAAAATTTGTAGCCCCTTTCCATTTTTTTAGTTGGATCTTATACCTGGCAGAACACCAGTATAGCAAACCAGGAAGATACAGGTTGCCAACTACTGTGAATGGCTCACTTAGAAAAAGTTGGGCAGAAGAGTTTGCCCGTTTAATAAATAAAATGCTTGTGTTAAAACAGGAATGGCACAATGTTTTCCAGGTCTACCTTAAATCTTTTAGAACCCTTTGATTTTAAATCATTTAATCATTTAATCGGTCCAAATCACAATCCTTGTGAGGGTGTGATCCACCTTTAATAAATAGGTAAAAAGAAATAAAATTAATGGCTGGCGCGGTTAGGAAGAAAATTACCAAAATACGATCAAGCGAATGCTTATAAAGAACAGAGAGTGAATGACAGGTTCCTTGAAAGATAAGCCTCAATTATTATTTTTTAAAAAACAGCTTGCTTTTAGGTCCTCTTTGTCATCCTGTGGAGCAGATGGGAGGCAAGGGGTTCTTTTGACAGTAGCCATCTCATATGGCTTCCCACCTATTCTGGAAGCAGGCTGGGAGAAGGTGGGCTTTTTTCCTCTCCTTCCTTTGTGCTGAATGTTGAGGCAAATAGGCTTGGTTCTAGCTCTCTCATTCAGTGGAGTCCCTTGCTTCCATATAAGGCCATCCTGCTTTCTCACTTCCTGCTTCAGCTCCTTTTTCTTTTCCCCTCCCTTCTCCCCTTCCTTGCCCTGGATCCAGCCTTGCTCCATGTGGCACAGTTCTAACGATTCACAGCTGTCTGAAAGTGCCGTCTGCTCAGCGTTTTAACTTCCTTTCTTTCCTGGAGAAAGAACTTCGGGACAGCTTTTATAACCGGTCTCACTTTCTTATTCATTTTTTTTTTTTAGAGCATTGACCCACTTCCCCCTCATTTTAAAAGGGGGAACCTCAGCATCTTGAAGAAGAAGTGGGAAAATCCAAGCTTGGGGACGGAGGTCCGGAAGGAAGCTGTGGAAAGCTGCCGTGCTGAGGTTAGGCAGAAGGCTGTCAGCCCTGGTGGTGGAACTGAAAGCGGCTCTGCTTCCCTAGCAGAAATTAACAAAACTTCAGGGATTAGTCCAAGATTGAGACTTCAGTCCTCTTCCAGATTGTTTGGCCGGTTCAGATATCCCAGTGTTGGCAGCGAAGACGATCAAGCGCAGTCGTCTCAGAGTGGGGAAATGGAAAATTGTCTTAGAGAATCCACACAAGACATAGGAAAGCTGGAGACCAGTGAAATCTCAGAGTCGTCAGGGAAAATAGAGAAGTTTAATGTTCCTCTAAACAAACTAAAGATGATGTTTGAGAGGGGGGATGCAGTTCAAACAAAGGTAAGGAACGATTTGCTTCAGTTCTCCCTGGCTCTTGAAAAGAAAAGAAAAATGGTAAAAGGGTGACTAAAATCGGCCTGCCATGGAAGTGGGTATCTTTTATTTGTCCCATTGTCAAAAATTCCCCCCCCCCTTTGTGGATAGCACAATAATTCTTGCTCACAATAATTCTTGCTCAAAGGAGAAGAGTGTGTGTGGCAGAATGCAGGTTTTTTAGAATGCCAATAGCTGCTGCAAAAAGAAACCTAATTAACTGAGGTTAGCCTAATTGGGGTGTTGGCCCTATTGAAGCCTCCAAATAAATTGAGATGTGCGCATGCATGCAATTGTGAAAAGAACCTGGGGAATGTGTGTGTGCGCGCGCGCATATTGTGATTGCAGTACAACTGTTCCTTGATTTATTATTTTTTTTGAGTTGTGGAAACTAATGTTTGAAGCAACAATTTTTGCACTCTTCTCTGTCTGCATCCTGGCAAATGTTTCCGTCTGCTGCTAAATCTTCTCACAGGAAGAAAGTGTGTGATGATAGTCTGAGAATTCCTGTCTTCGCCAGTTTTGACTTGCAAATTCATGGGCCTTGCATTTTCCTACAAGTACTCATGAAATCTGATCCAGCATGTGGACTACAGACTGTATCCCTGGGGAAAATTGCAAATTGAGTAACAAGAAAATGAGTTGCATATGGTAGGGCTTGAAGCACTCTTTGGTTGACTTTTCCCAGTTTCTTTGTAGTTTCCCATTATATTCTAGCATAAACTTGTATGTGTTCCAAGTTTATGCTAGAATATAAACAAGATATAGTTGTGATTTAGAATTCCTCAGGGCTTTGAAAAGGTGAATTACTTTGGAGTCAAGCTAAATTTTCTAAATTAGATCTCCAAATCTAGGTTGCCACAGGAGCAGTTTATTTTACCATAACTAGATACAGCCTGCTATGCTGATTGAGTGGTCCAATTAGATCTGAACATAACATGGATGAAATAGCTGGGTGTGTACAGCTATCCCAAGACATGTGGACACCTGATCTGTAGACATAGATTACTCATCTTAAACATGTTTCAAAATTTAATATACATGCTGCTTGTATTGGTTCTAGGCCAAATTTAAAGCCAGTTAAACATGCTAGGAATATGCAACTTTTCCAGTTTTACAAAATCTTTCAGTTATAAAAGAAAACTGGCCCATAGAGAAAACATTTCATACTCTTTATAATTAGAAAGCTATTCATAGCTGTGCGAAATGATTTTGCAGGAAGAATGTTTCAGCCTGAAGACATGGTCTTTAGGTGCATATTTATCATTGTTTACATTTTTTTTTTAAAAAGTCATAAAATTGTGCATTGTAAAAGTTATATCCGAATAGAAGTGATTGTTATGTAGTTTTGCATCACTGACAAATTAGTAGTACAGAAAATATGTTACAGCAGCATATTTTGGATTTCACAGATGCACAAAAGTTGTGATGGTAAACTAGATGCTTTAGGTATTTTTCCCTGCCTCTTTCTAGTAGTTAAACTTCAATCAATTTTGTGTAAAATCCTGTAAAATATATGTGAAATGGACAGAATTAGTTTACCACAAGGCTCTGGAAACTTCAGATCAGAATTGGAATATATAATGCAGTTCTCATTGATTCATATGCCTGATGTGTCCTCAGTGTACCAATCTGATACGTTCAGAATCCACTAGAATACATATATAGTTGCATATGGGTGTTATGTTTTGTGTTATCCACTATCTGGGAGCAGATGACAGCATTACAGAAATACTGATCTCTCTGTCTCTGTCAATGGACTTAAGCCCATGAATAGAATAGAATAGAATAGAATAGAATAGAATAGAATAGAATAGAATAGAATAGAATAGAATAGAATAGAGCAGAGCAGAGCAGAGCAGAGCAGAGCAGAGCAGAGCAGAGCAGAGCAGAACAACAGAACAAAACAGAACAGAACAGAGTTCTTTATTGGTCAAGTTACACACAAGGAATTTGTCTTTGGTGTATATGCTCTCAGTGTACATAAGGAGAATAAAATACATTCATCGAGAATAAGATACAACACTTAGTGATAGCCAAGGTTACTAATGAGCTATCAAATCATACTAGGAAACAAAAACAATATAAATTGAAAGATACAAGCAACATAGTTAAAGTAATAAATGGGAAGAGATTCAATAACGTAGCAGTAAGAAAAGGACAGGAAACACCTTGTATATATTTGCTTAGTCCAGGATTAATACAGTTAAGAATCGCAGATATTTTAAGCTGTGATAATCCTTACCTGATCTTACAACTAGGAAAAGCTTGCAATTTAGTTATAATTATTCTCTTTAAAATAAGCTGAAACAATAGATTTACAGTGAACTTCCAAGAGCAAGAATTGGTTGGGCATTTTAGCAGAAGTCACTAGGGAAAAACTGGGGCCAAGGAAGGAGAAGTCAGTAGACAGTTGATCGTTCAAAAGAAAGATAAGCATAATGTGTTGATTGGATTGTTTAATAACTATAACATTAATGCACAGCAGTAAGAAGTAAACATTTTTATCTTGTTGAAAACTGCAAATAAAATCTGGTTTAAATGTTTTGCAGACAAGAACAGGAATCCCCACCCCACCCCACCAATATTCTTCTATTTAACGATTTTTAAAAACCATTTTGTTCATAAATGCAGGAGGGGTATATAAACTGTTAAAACCAAATAGTTTGGATGTAGAGATGAAGAGAGATTTGATACAAAATGAGGGCTTTCTCTCCCGTATGTCCCTGTTCCTTAAGACTTAAGTTCTTTTTAAAGTTCAGGAGCTCCTCTGAAATTGCATAATAGAGAATGGCAGACAATAGTAGGAATGGAAAGAACTTGATTGGCTGCCTTGTGCAATCTAACTGAAATGCCTTTGTGCTCATACTAGATATCTCTGGATTTAAGTGATTTGTATTAAATTGATTGACTATTAAATACAGTAGTGAAGGAAAGACCAGTAGAATTTTGTGCTATGTGCTTTATGATAATGTCATTTCCTTTGCCTAAGACTTATTTGAAGACACAAACAATATGGCTGTGCATGCAGCTTTTGAAAATGATTCAAAAGAAGTGCTTTGGATCTTGCCCAAGGCCAAGCCCCTTTGTACTATTTCTTAAAGCAGGCTTCTGGTTGCATTAATTTTAATGAGTATATTCCTGAAAGCAATGGAATTTCTCTCCCTTTTGGTCTTGTACAAGTTATGTGGTGGTCTTTGTGCAATGCTTTCAAGTAATTTTTGAAGCATGCATTGCACACAGCCCTAATAAACAATGTGGTCTTTCTTCAAAAGTTTGTCATTGGAAAGGCATTGCAATGAGAGCCAGTGATTTGCAGTCAATGGTTGATATCATCTGGAGAGATCCAGCCCTACTAGTGAAAAATGCACTAGATAATGTTGGAGCAATCATTACCTTTCAAGCTGAATCTAGTTCCAGACAGATAGTTATTATGCAAACAACATTTAGGTCCTAGAGTAAAGGCATCTCTCTCTCTGTCTCTTCCCCCCACCTTCTCTCTCTGCCTCTGTCTCTGTCTCTGTCTCTCTCTCTCTCTCTCACACACACACCTTGCTTTAGATCATACTGTATTCATTACACTTCGAATCATTCTGTATTCATACAGTATTCATTTGGTTTTCAGCAAGGCATTTGATAAAGTAGACCATAACCTACTACTTGATAAAATGGGAAAATGTGGGTTAGACAGCATCACCACCAGATGGATTCATAACTGGCTGACCAACCGCACTCAACGTGTAGTCCTCAATGGAACCGCATCTACATGGAGGGAAGTATGCAGTGGGGTATCCCAGGGCTCTGTTTTATGCCCAGTACACTTCACATCAATGATTTGGATGAGGGGATAGATGGGGAACTCATCAAATTTGAAGACAACACCAGGCTTTCAGGAGTAGCCAACACTCCGGAAGATAGATTTAAAGATACAGAAGGATCTTGACAGACTTGAACATTGGGCGCTATCTAACAAAATGAAGTTCAGTGGTGAAAAAAGCAAGGTTCTACATTTGGGCAAGAAAAACAAAATGCACAGGTACAGTAGGGTTTCCTGCCTAAAGCAGGGGGTTGGACTAGAAGACCTCCAAGGTCCCTTCCAACTCTGTTATTCTACATTGTACTGTCCCATAGAGTAATGATCATTAGAAAGATTTTTATGCAAAGACATTTTTATGTCATCAGCACTACTTACTACAGCGATGGGCATTCTTTGTGGTTGAGTGTATGTGGAAATTTTGAGATCAGATTGTACTCTTGTTAAAAAAAAGACCTCCATGAAAAGCCTGCTAATTTGCAAAATTACTATAAAAATAGCCAGTAACAAAATAGCAGTAGCACTTAGACTTATACACTCCTCAGTGCTTTACAGTCCTTTCTAAGCAGTTTACAGAGTCAGCCTATTGCTCCCAACAATCTGGGTCCTCATTTTACCGACCTCGGAAGGATGAAAGGCTGAGTCAACCTTGAGCCGGTGAGAATCAAACACCTGGCAGTGAGCAGAATTAGCCTGCAATACTGCATTCTAACTATTGCACCACCACTGCTATTAAATAACAGTATATCAGAAGGCAAATGTTCTTTGCAGGATGCTTTCTTTCCATCCATTTAGACCTTTGTGCAGACCAAAGGCATTCCTATAAATTTTATGTTGAAATCTGTTGGAGCATGCTAGCTTTCTTTCATTAAAGTATTTTAAAAAGCCTTGTGGAACATTGGCCTTGATGCAGTGGTGGGTTGCTCCTGGTTCTGTCTGATTCTTTAGAACCAGTAGTAAAAGTGGTGGGAGGCTCCGCCCACCCACCCGGAGGTCATAATTGACATTCTGCACATGTGGAGAAGCGTGATCGAGGGAAACAAGTGCGCGTGTGTGCTCCTGTTGCAAACTGGTAGTAAAGGTAAGTAGAACCCACCCCTGCCTTGATGGACTTACTTAAGTCTTTTCAGGACCCAAGCTGCTGACCCTGGTA